ATGTGCTTTCCAGCTTACATATATTTTAAATTTATTGGTAGTCCTTTCTGCTCTGACCTCTTCTTCTAGAATCATTTCCCTTATACCAGAAGATACTTTTTGACAGATGCTTTAGTCAAAATCTCTTGTTAGTAAACTCAGTTTGCCCTTTGAAATGCTGTTCCATACCTTTTTGTTGTTGTTAAAAGATGACTGCAGATCTGAGATTACTTGCTCTTGGACTTTCAAGCTAACATCTAAAGAATCTCTGTTCTAATTGTTGCTGAGAACTCAGCTCTGCTCTGCTCTGTTTTAAATTGACACAATATTTGCCTGTATTTATGAGTTACTATGAGATAATTTGATACATGTCTGCAATGTGTAATGATCAAATCAGGGTAATTAGCACCTCGATCTCCTCCAACATTTGTCATGTTTATGTGTTGAGAGCTACATAATCTTGTCTAGTTACTTTGAAAGATGATCTTAAATTGCCGTGTACTGTAGCTAACTTCCACACTCCTGGAGCTAGTTCTTCCTGCCTTCACACGGCTTGGGAACTTTCAAGGTCCTCTGATCCTTGCACTCTGAAGTTTCACACGAATCTGGGTTGGATTCATTGGTATCTTCTTCAGAATCCATTGAGCTTGCTCAATCTGAAGATGGGTGGATCGCATGGTTTTGGAGTTCTTTAGTGATTTAATCTTCTTCTCCACCAACTTTTCCCAGTGTCCCCAAAAGACCTGTCATTCTTTCCTCTGTGTTGAGTCTTCGCAGCGACCTGGTGTCTTTCTTGGTAAAGTCATCTAACAGTTCCCTAATATCTAATGCATCATTGCTTTCTCCATCTGAATTAATCTTTTCCCTTATTGACTTCTCTTTGATAATCTTTCATCACCACAATTTCAAATCCTGCCTTTAGTTCATGTCAAACACACTCACTTTCATCTCATACCCTGATGCCTGCGTCATTTGCGTTGTGTGCCTTTGTTTTGCTTTGGCAACTCTATAAGCTTATCCCATCATTTACTTAGCACTTTGTAACAGGTCCATGCTCACTGGAACTTTGTTGTCATGATAAAGTCTGTAAGTTCCCCAGCTCAGATGCAATTCATGTTCAGTTCAGCTTGGCCCTCGAGGGCAACGCAACACAGCACACACAGGTATACGCTCAGACACTCACAGATTCAAATCTCTTTATGCTGCCAAGTGACTACCTGAAACTGGTTTGAAACTACAATTAAAAGATGCGTTGTACCGCCCCTCCTCCACGTCCTCTGCCTCCCCAGACCGACTCTGGCAGGAGGCCCCGTCATCGCCTTTGCAGATACTTCCTCCTTTCTTTCCGGTGCTCGGTCCCAACCAGGTCAGGAGCCCGGATCTGTGTGTGCGTTTCCATCATGTCTACCCGTGCTTCTGCTCACAGGACGTTTACATATGCATCTGGGTATTCAGGGGCAGAGGATGAACCCTGAGGGGTCCTCATGTCTCACAGGGTGCCTCTTGCACTCACAGCCTTCTGTCTAGTCTGTAGTAGGCATCAAAGAGGAGTTTCATGTGAATTAATGAGTAAAACAATAGTTTGGAACCTCTTTTCAGCCCCAAATATTTTTGTCTTCAACTTTTGGGCCTTTCTGGCAGGATCACAACAACAACTATAAAACATCTAAGGGTGTGTGCTTCAGTTCTAAAAGCCTCTTTCAGAGTCAGTAATTTAAGGTGCATACTCTTCTGAGAAGAATTTCTTCAGAGTTAAATTGTTTCCCAGGACTAAAGAGAAATCACACTCCAGCACAAAACCATTTTCAGACTCAAACGTTTTTATTATTTTTGGAATATGAGAAATCATTAGCAAGTGAAAAGTAGGACAGCCGTGATTGTTAACAGTCCCCCTCTAATTAGCTATTAATTATGTTTCCTATGTCTCCTACATTGAAAAATTACAGCTGTTTCATAATCAGGCCTCACCTCATTTTCACTCAAAGTTAAAATCGCGAGGAGGCTGTTCAAGGGCCTTAACTTCTTTGTCACTTTGTAGCAGGCTTGACTCACGGAAAAAAGTTCAATCACATAAGAAACTTGATCTGAATCTCAGACTCCACTGAGACTGTTTACCAGATCTGCCTGTCTCAGCTGGAATTCAGTGCCTGCTCATTTTCCCTTTAATTAGCTACACATACTCTCAAAAATATTGGCTCAGCATAAAATGAGAACAGGAAGGCGTGCTAGTGACTGTGGGAGATGGAAGGGAGAACAGGTGATACAGGGGGATGAGCCAGGCAAGATCTGCCTTCCAAGACTGTCCAGAGAAGTAGCGAACAGACCTCCATATTGCTGAGGATATATGATTTATTAATTGGTAGCAGTTATTAAATTTCCCTATGTGCTATTGCCTTCACAAGTCTTCATTACCCAAATCTCAGTCCCTTAATTATGAGATAGATCATTACTATAGTAGTATTTGGAAGAAAGGGTAGTCCTTAAAAATAATAACTTACTGGGGTGTTTTTGGTTTTGGATTTTGTTGTTGTTTGGTTTTTGAAGCAGGGTCTCCCTTTAGCCCCAGCTGCCTGGGACTCGCTACCAGGCTGGCCTCAAACTCACAGAGATCTGCCTGCCCCTGCCTCTGCCTCCTGAGTGCTGGGATTAAAAATGTGTACCACCACACTCAGCATAATTTATTCTTGATTGTAAGGTACATTCCAAATGTCAAATATGTGGACTTAGAATTGATAGAATGTGTGAGTAGCTTTAATTTTCTCAGAAATTCTCAAGTTGGGTAATTAACATTATAGGCAAGAGAACTGATGGGCTCAGAGATAACACTGCATAGCTAGTAAACAGGAGTATCAGCATTGACAGACGCCAATCTGATTTCAAGCCGGGCTCTTGACTGGCTTCTCCCTGAGAGAGCAGATTAAGGACTTTCCATATCTTCCTTTTCTATTTCTTAATATCACCTCATCTAACACTGAAGAATGCTAGGACTTCTTGAATGCATTTGAGAATTTAGTTGTTATGATGAGACTTTAAAAACTGTATTTTAAAAATCATTAGTTTGACCATCAATTAAAATTATAGTGATCAGCTCAGAGTCGTTAGTGAGTCCTACCCAAATCACAGATGAAATAATTGACTATGAATCTGTAAGTACATCACATGATGACACATTGTATCAACTTACTAGAATGACAGACTAGAAGTTAATTGATTTTAACTTGTGATTGTAGCCAAGGGTTTCCTGTTCCTTAAGGAAGGAAATTTGTGGTTAGGGGACAGCTCTTTAAAGAATCCATTCATTAAATGTCTCTTTTCTAAGTTTTATAAAAATAAGTACATTTCTATATAAAATGCTGAAAATTAATTCTGACATTACATCAAGTAGCAAATAATCTTTTATAAAGAACCAGAAATGACTAACCCAAAGTAGGAGACTTCATATTTCCTCTTACGTAACAAGTCACAGAATCTACTTTTTAGAAAGTTAATGAGTTAAGAAATACCAGCCATGTGCTACATTGTTTTTTCCTATAATAATGAATTAAATGCAGGAAGGAGTGCTAGTTAAATATACCACATAGTCATGGTTACCAGATTTCATCTGTGCAGGTTCAGCAGAGCAAAATTAGAAATGTCAAACAGAAAAGAGCTCATTAAGATAATTCCTCCAGAAATGAATAAGAAATTCCCCCAACTGTCTATGTCTCATGGTAGTCAAGTTGGACAGAGCTAACAAAACATTCTGCTTTTAAAAAATATTTTATTATTCATTTTTATGTGTATAAGCATATGGCCTGCATGTATGTAAGTAGACCTGTGTCATGCAGTGCTCACAGAAGTCAGAGAGAACAGTGGATCCCCTGAAACTGGATTTACAGACAGTTGTTAGCCACCATGTGGGTGCTGGGAACGGAGCCTGGGTCCTCTGCAAGAGCAGCCAGTGTTCTTAACCACTGAGTCATCTCTCCAGCCCCAGCTTTAGATTTTTTTGTTTTTCAAACACCTATATTGAGGAACTGGAGAGATTTCACAGTGGTTAGAGCAATGGCTGCTCCTTCAGAGGACCCACGTTCAGTTCCCAGCACCCACATGGTAGCTAACAACTGTTCATTAACTCCAGTTCCAGGGGCCAATGGCTGCTCCTTCAGAGGACCCACGTTCAGTTCCCAGCACCCACATGGTGGCTAACAACTGTTCATTAACTCCAGTTCCAAGGCTGTCTTCTGATCTCTGTGGACATTGCACACACACGGTGCACTGATATATGTGCAGGCAAAACAACCACACAAATAAACAGAATTTATAAAAAGTATTTTAAAAATATTAAGCACTGAAATGCCAGCTGCTTTACCCCTCGCTAGACTCCTTGTATTGACCAGTGCCGTGGGAGTGGAACAGGAAACTACCCTGAGCCTCCCTCTAGCAGTGGTGTAAAGATGCTGGATTCCAGAAGCATCTCTTCAGCGCATGGCTCGTTAGTGTTCTGGCTGTTAGAATGAATCAAACCTAATTGAATTTTTCATCAGGTATCAAAAGTTACGGACTTCATTTACTAGTAAGTTACGAGGCAATGGACGGGATGACACTCAAAAGGAAGTATTCACGTTCTGAGGGATTGCGGCTCTAGAGCATGAAATATGGATTCAGTGTGACAGGAAGGAAGTGAGACTATGACATCTAATGTGACCACAGGGTAGAGAACCAAAGTGATACCTCAGTAGCTGCAGGGGTGGAAGCGGGTAACTGCAGATGGCTTCTCCGTTTGGTTGGGTTTTGCTTGTGTCTGTAGGAAGGACACATTGAGGCACCATCACCAGGGTGGACTGTGATGCCATTCCAGGGAGCGAGCAATTCACGTGTGGAGGAGAACCGTGCCTTTCACACGTGTGGAGGAGAACCGTGCTTTTCTCACTGTTCCTTACCTCACATTTACAAAAGATGGTGACTTGAATTTTTAAGTCTACATCCCAGTGGATTTAACCAATTGGGCCTAATTAGCGAGTGGTTCTTTTCTGTTCCAGCAATTGTTCAACTGTCAAGCTCTGCGGAAACTAAGCATCCCTGACAATGACCTCTCCAGCCTGCCGAGCTCCATTGCTAGCCTAGTTAATCTTAAAGAACTCGACATCAGTAAAAATGGTAAGATTCTAATCTCCAAGTACCTTCATATCTTTTTAATGAAAATTTCTTTTAGTTTTTCTTAGCGGGTGATAAAAATAACTTTTCCTTTGATTTTGTTGAAGCTCTATTAATTTTAAGAGTTAACTCATAAGCCTCAAAGGCAGCGAACCTCCCCCTCCCCTCTCACAAGGTGCCTGGCTCCCCCAGGCTTTATTCCTCTCTGAACTCAGATCTGTGACCCAACTTCCTGGGCGCCTCCTCATCCTCAGCTCTGCTCGTCTCCTCGTTCTCAGAGTCTCCAACATGCTTCAGACACCTCCTGTCCACGAGTCCAACTGTCCGTCTCACTTCTGCCTTCCGTGTCTCCCCTCTGCTCCAGCCTGTACTTCCTCACCGCATCACAGCTTACCTACTGGCTGTAGCTATTGACTGTCCTCTCCTGCCCTAGATCGTGAACTCCATCTTTGACAGGAGAGGCATTTTTGTTTGGGTCGCTGATATATCCCAAGTACCTTGAGCGGAGTCTGGAAAACCATCAAAGCTTGCTAGTATCTGCTTATTTTGGGCGAAATTCATTTACCTGGTGATTTTGTTGACACTGTTGCTAATGTTGGTGTCCGTGATGCTATTTCATCTGGGGGTTTGGGAAAGAAAGCTGGAGCTTCAGAAAGTCTCTGGTGTCCTCACTGATACATTAAGACCTTGTTCCAAATGACTTCAGCTGCCTGTTTGATAGAAAAAAGCAAAGCTCTGTCCCAAAGGATTGTGACCAGGTGCTTTGGGGACATAAAGCACATCTCCACCATAATCAAGTGTCGGGTTGAAATGTGTGCATATGACCACACATAAGCAGTGCTGTGATTGTTTCACTGGGTACCATGAGGACAGGCACGGTGTGAAGAAAGCAGGTCTCACCCCACAAAAACATGCATTCTAGGAAGTGATTTAGACATTTAGGCAAGTGACTATGGATGACTGAGTAAACAGCTGTGGGTAAAACTATATTCAGCCTGCAGGCCATCCTTGGAAGGATGGAATCCATTATCAGGGAAGGTTCCTTATAAAGCAATAACCAAGCCAAGCCAAGATGAATGCGACTTAGATAGCCCTGGCTTGACATTCTGGGTAAACAGTTTTGTTTAAAGACTGCTGGGAAAATCCCTTGTTCATATGCACATATAACATCCCTAAGATGCCTGATGCCTCACAGATCCACAACACCATCCCAGAGGCCTGGTCTCTTCTTCTGTGGGAACTCTCCGTAGATGCTGGCACTGGCTCAGGTGTCCTTCCTGCAGACCTCCCTACACCCTGTCCTCTAACTCGGATTCTGCTGGTGTTGTCCTCTAAAAGCACAGCCCATTTCCCCTCCGTTTCTCCGTGTTCAAACTGGCCTGACGTGTGCTTTCTGGACAGTCTACAGTCAGTCCCCTTACTTGAATTTCACCTTTGGATTTTCTGTTGTGTGCTTCCATATTTCCATCGTCAAGAGTATGTAATGCTTCAGGCGAGCTTGATGAATATTTATTGAAGGAACTCATGAGTGAATGATTGACAGTCATCATGAAGTTGACAGCAAGACTGGCACCAATAATCAGTAATCTCTAAAACAGTACTCAGTGAAATACTTAATTATATTGCACAAATTATAATTATAAATTCTTAGAGAATAGGAAGACTAATTAAGACTGTTGCATTAATAGAAAAGAGTTCAAGTTCAGGATCTAGTTTGAAGATTCCCCTGAATAGGTAAGAGCATTCTGGTGGAAGGAGGCAACCAAGAACACAGACAGCGTCCCACACCAGCCTGACTTACCACTCAGGGATTTTACAACGCCAAACCAACGTGTACATGTAGAGAGAGAGTGGCAGTCAGACTTAGACCCCTTGGAAGGTGGGGCCACTTTTCTTCTTTGAAGAATAAGCTGATTGAGACTGGAGAGATGACTCAGCAGTTAAAAGCACGTACTGCCTTTGCAGAGGGCCTGAAGTAAGTCCCGTATTGGGAGGCTCGCAACTGCCTGTAACTGAGGCTCTGGGGCATCCCGCACTCTTCTCTGGCCTCCACAGGCATCCACACACTACATGGCATATATGCATATAGACACATAAATAAAAATAAAGTAAAATGTAAATTCATTTGACATTCCCTATGTTTTATTACTACCTATGTGCTTATATACATTTATATATCACCCTATCTTCAAATTATAATTTTTAAATATATTTTTATTGAATTTCTGTGGATTTCATACAATACGTCTTAATCATGTCTAGCCCTCCCCCCAGCTTCCCTACCTGCACCTGCCCCATAGCCTGCCCAAAGGACTTCATGCATTTTGTGATATATACTAAGGCCGATCAGGTCAAGTTTGTATATTCAGGTGTCTCTTGGTGTGAGTCATTCACTGGAGCCTGTACAACCTGCCTAGCATCACTCCCTCAAAGAAGATCAGTTCTCCCACACCCAGCAGAGATCAGCTGCCAATAGTTCCTTGTCAGAGTTGTGGCCACCTGCCCATCTCCCCAGTTCTGTACTGGGTTTTGTCTGATTGAGTTTGGTGGGTCTTGTGCATGCTGTCACCATGGATGTAAGTTCACATGAACAAGGTCCCAGGAGCCTGTAAGACTCTGTTTCCTTGTGGTCCTGCACCTCCTCCCCTGGCTCTTACAATCTTTATGCCCTCTCTTCCACAATGGTCTCTGAGCCCTGAATGAGTGTTTAAGCAACAGATGGAGACTATTAGAGTTCCACAACTGATTATATACAATATGAGATGCCCAGCCCTAAGTGACACATCTACAATAGGACCTCTACACCTAAGACTCACAACATAGTGGAACAAGCGGTAGAGAGAACACTGATACTTCTCTCAACTCTCATCAGCAAGCTTCCTCAAGCAACAGAGGGCAAGGAACACAAAAGACTACAACTGGCCAAAGGGTAGAGAATAAGAGACTGCAGGGTGTGGGTCCCTGGACAGATTATAATTTCTAAGAAATGTCATTAGCCAAATACCACATCTGGCCCCAAGGTGGGTTTAGTAGACAGGGCAAAGAAATAAAAATCTGTCTTAGTTTTAAAGATGATAAGATGACAGCATATCACCACATATAACCTTAATCTCCTGAGAAACAATGCTTTGGAGAGCATATAATAATTCTGAGTAGCATTCTCACCACAAGAAATCATAAGCTACGGTTCTCACCTCAGAAGGAAGTCTGAGAACATCTCTAGAAGTCTTTGAAACTGATGCCTAACTTTGTCTCTAAATCTCTGTGTTCTGGAAACGTGTACACCAAATCACATGGATGAGATGGAAGGCCACTATACAATGCAAGTGTGAATGTGAGGGTGTGCTATGAGGACGCACTGGCCACTGCTGGCAGTGATGCAACAGCCCTTCAGAACATCAGGCTACAGGCTGTCTCTGTGCTGCAACAAAGACCTGGGCAGTCACTCAAGGAGCTTAATGCATGTTTTGGGAATCTGTCAAATAAAGAGCAGGAGCAGTAAATAAGTGTGGCGTCGGCACTGCACACTGTCAGTTGTGATCCCTGCTGGGAGCAGAGACAAGGCAGGCCTGTTCAGTGACAAGCAGGGTCTCCAGACAGACCCATGCAGGGACTCACCAGTCCGAGCAGAGACCTGACTGAAACACGCTTGAATTAGGTAAGGGAACCCTTAATGCACAAGTTCATGCAGAGGCTGGTTACAGCCGACCTTGACTTTCCACTCTGAGCTCTTCTGCTGCTGCCCTCCAGTCATCGCCGGCCACACCATGCTGGCCCCTTGGGACACAAAGAGCTGGGTCATTTCTTTGGCCCAGATTCCTCCCTCCCTAGACGAATCCTATTGTCCAGACAGAGTCCTCTGTACTTCCAGAAAGACGTTTCACGTGCACCCAAACGCACACCCCACCCCCCACACGCTCATACACAGTCAAACACACATCATACACATAAACTCTCATACACACACTCACACTTACACACACATGTATACATGTTTACCTGCATCCTTTCACCTCCTCTTGCTGTCAGAGTTAATGTGTTTAAGTTCTCAGTGAAGAAGCACCACGTTTCATAGATTCTTCAAGTTCTTGTTCTCCATCCCCCTTCTGATATCTTTCCTCGATGAGTGAGTGGACCTGGTTGTTGAGGCAGAGGTGACCCCATTACCTCACATCTTTACCCACACGGGGGACATTGGAGACATTAAATGGCAGAAAATCAGCTGGGTCTAGAAGATACCGATGGTGGCCAGCTGTTTGTACATGTTTCATGCTTCACTTTTGTTATGGTTGCTTTGGGGGCTCTTGGAGATTTGAAAGCTATATTTTGAACTCTAGTCTCTTGTTGCTTGTGAGGGTCATAAAGGTGGCCTCCCAACCTGGGGCAGGCCTTTTCACTTTGTTTGAAATGCCATTTTTCATAAAGAAATTGCCAAATTTTATGTGTAAGCTTTAGCCTTCCTCCGTTTATGGTACGTGTCTTTACAGCACGTCGAGATGCTTTTCAGTACTTTAATATCACAAGGTGCTTTTTCTAAACTATTGGTTTTTCTTTTTACATTCAAGTCTTTCCTTAATTTACAACTTATTTTTGTGCTACATATAAGATGAAAATTTATTTTTTTCCATGTGAATAGATGAGTTGCTCCACTATCTCCCAACTGACTTGGGTACGGAAGCCACCAGGCTCTCCATCCACTGTCTTGGCTTGTTGAGCTGTTCCCAGCCCATCAATACACCGCTCTGATCGTTAAGCTGGTTATTGAGTTTCACTATCTGAAAATCCAAGTCCTTCTTTCCCTTCCTTCATTTTCATATGTGTTTTGCTGTTCTTTGTATTCAAGTCCATAAGAGTTTTAAGTTGGACTTGTTCAGATACAATAACAGTCTTGTAGAATGACAAACTTTCCTTGAATTTAAAGATTAACCTGGGAAGAACTGATGTCTTGTGATGGTAAATATGAACCTGCCATTTCCCTTAGGTCTTACTTTATGTCTTTCAGT